AATACTCTGGAACGAGCGTTCTCCCTCGTTCGAGCTGTACAAAGTGCTTCGCGATATTAACCTTGCCGTGCAGCTTGCACTCCAATTTGTTGGTACGAGAAGCGTACGACGACGATGAAAAGAGGAGGAAGAGGAAGAAGAATAAGAATAAGAAGAAGAAGAAGAAGAAGAAAAAGAGGAAGAAAAGGAAGAGAAAAAGGAGAATATAGAGTTCGGTTCCTTGACGTTTCATAGAAATGCATTTTTCTTAGATTTTCTTAGACTTATTTTCCAAACGTATTATTGTACTATTGTTAGCAGAATCTTTGAAATAGAGAGAGAGAGAGAGAGAGAGAGAGAGAGAGAAAGAGAGAGGAGAGAGAGTGAGAGAGAGACAGTAGTTTTATTAGTATTATATTATGGAAAACTCTTTTACGCTCTAGTTTCAACAAGATATATATATATATATACAGAGAAAGAGAAAGAGAGAGAGAGAAAGAGAGAGAGAGAGGAAGAGAGAGAAATATAGAGAAACCACTCATCGGTTTATCTCCATTAAGTTCTAGAAATTGAACGTTTTCTTAGAACAGAGCATACACCACTGCATTTTCCATGCACAAAGAAAGACTCGAGACTACAAGCCTATGATCACAAGCTTTCCACTATACGAATATCCAATTTACGTAAATTCAATAAATTGCTGGAATTAATACCCGGAGATTCGCATCAATTTCTCATCTTTCTGTTTGCTTGCTTGTTTGTTTGTTCATTAGTCTGCCTTTTTGTTTGTCCATCTGTCTGTTCGTTTGTTTTTATTTTCTTTCTTTTTCTTTTTTTTTATTTTTCCTTCTTATTTTTATAAGCTAAACCATATAAACCCTCGGGATCGTTAAATCGAACGAATCTTTTGACCGTACGTTTCCCTTTGCGTGATTATCGAAGCTCGGTCAGTCTCGGATCGAATCGCAATTAACCAAATAAGTATGTTTCTTTTGCATAATAATTTGCATGTAATGCACGTACACGTTCCGATCACGTTATACGTAGAATTTTCCATCTAGATACAAGTATACTCGCTTCTAATACTTCCTTAATAAGATTGCGGTTTAATACTATATCTTAATTGTCTCTACCATCTCTCTACCTACATCAGTGTTTCGTAAATTATAACAACGTAATATCGTAGAATAGATTAAGATGGGAGGGTGGGGGTGGGGTGGGGGGGATGGGGAGGACGGGAACTTGTCATATAATTTTCTAATTCCTGGCAATGTGAATTCATGTACATAGTTAAGTACATACATACAAACATATATATATATATATATATATATATATATATATATATATACGTCTGAGAATTTTTACTGAAATTTTTACTTTTCGCCAAGTAAACTTCGTGAGAAAAAAATAACTTTTGTCGTTTAAAATTTCAAAGAATTTCTCTACCCGTGAACTTTTTATTATTTTCTTTTTTTTTCCCTTCTTCATCTTCTTTTTCTTTTGTTTTTCTATCTTTCATTCTTTCTTTTTTTTTTCTCTCCCTCTCTTTTTTACGATCCCTCGTGTCGTTGCCGACGAAGATGAGCTAAAACTTTGTTGTTATCAGTAATAGGAGAACGTACGCGATAACGGGCTTTAAAACGTGCAAAGCCGATAGAAAGTAAGCCATATTGCTTTTTTTCTTTTCTTTTCTTTTCTTTTTTTTTTGTTTTTTTTTTCTTCTTCCTCTTCTTCCATGCGTATGCGCGTGAATTACTTGTCTGTGGAGAAGGGAGAAAAAAGAAAAAAAAGAAAATATATTAGGGCGAAGTAAATCAACTGGAGAGTTTTTTTTTTTTTCAAGGAAGTTCGATCAAAATGCATCCTGTGTGAAGGAAAGCTTTACATTAACTTCACGTATCCAGTGTAATTTTGTTTAGATTCTTTACGTGTCGATGGTCCTCGACTTTAATATTCCTGTTAAAACTTGAAAAATGATTTATTTTCGATTTCGTTTTCCCGATAGGGAAGGAGAGAAAAAAAAAGAGAACGTGTAAATATATTATACCAGATGAAAATATCTAATGTCAAGATCATTTTAGCTTTCATTTATAATCTCTTTTACCGTGGGGAATTCATTTTATAAAGTTTGCTAACTCGAATTTTTTTCTTTTCTCTTCGACTTATTACCTTTCTCTGTCTCTCTGTCTCTCTATCTCTCTTTCTCTCTCTCTCTCTCTCTCTCTCTCTCTCTCTCTCTCGAATATATATATATATTCTTTTTTCGTATAAAACTGATACTCCCTGGTTATATCTATACGCGATACATTGAATTACAACGCCACCGGATCTTCCTGTACGTGTCTCTCGTTCTTCTCTCGGCGAATCAACATTTTTCGTTGCGCGTCGAGAATTTTAAAACTTTCTAGAGGAATGCCATTTCGTGATTTCGTATTATATCGCGAACAATGACGCTTAATTTGTGAAAGAGGGAAGGTTGAATTAAAATGATTAACGATTTAAAATATCACGTATATACGTACATATATATTTCATAGAGAATTATCTCAGCTTTGAGATATATATTTAGATAAAAGCATAAACTTTATCCTTCCATCTATCCATCCATCCATCCTTCCTTCCTTCCTTTCTTCCTTTCTTCCTTCCTTCCTTCATTCCTTCATTTCTTTCTGGGAATAATTTTAACAGAAGACAAGTATTTCTAGGTTGTGTAAACGCGTAACGAAAATCATTCTCTTAAACAAATACGAGTCCTTTGAGAATGTATATTTCAATATAAAGTGACGCCATCCCATCAACGTTCTACTCTTATCAGCTGGAAATCGCGATCAATAATGTCCGTATAAAAGATAAAATACCTCTTGTTTTCTTTTTTTTCTTTTTTTTTTTTCTTCATTTCTTGTTGAATCTAGGTTTACACGTGGCGTAACACGTTCTTTCCTTTTTATTTTTTTTTATTTTTTTTTTATTTTTTTTTTATTTTTTTTTTTATTTTTTTTTTTTTAATAGAACACTTTCTGTTCTTTATTTATTCTATCTTTGTTCATATAACACATTAACGTAATTATCTATCTATGTATGTATCTAATATACGTATGTATATATAGACATGCATGTATGTATGCATATACACATATATACACACATATATACACACATATATATATATATATACATATCATATATATATATATATATATGACGCGACAATTTATTTTCGTCTAGTTGAATCACCACGTCGTACATGTTAAATGTTATACAGTTGATAAAAGAGGAAAACGGAGGAGGGTAATAATTATATTTATGTACAAGAGAGACAGAGAGAGAGAGAGAGAGAGTAGATAATTACTATCGATTACTCGCGGACTCATGCACGAGCGACTTGGTTTAAACGAGGCTCACCTGTTGCTAAACTGATGCCTGATCTCTCTCGAAGCATTTTACGATCGATTAAATGAAATGAAATTTTGTTAAAAGTTAATCATGAAATTTTTGAAAAGATAAATATCATATGATGTCTGTCATCATAAGATTAAAGATCATAGTCATTTTCTTATTTGTTTATCGAATGATAATACATATGTAAAATACGTATCTACGTAGATTTAGTTAGTTATCGAACGTATTAACGATGTAAAATTTGTCATTGCGACGTTAATGGACGTGAATTTTCACGTGTTAATGATAGGTAATTTCTACGGGGGAAACAAGAAACGAACGTGGCACGTGCTATATTAAATAAAGGCACGCCATTGCTAGCGCGAAAATGGGATCGAGTGGTCTCGCGTTGGAGCCTTCGGTAAACTCGTGATATTACTCGAGTCTCACTAATGGTGGATCGAAGATAACGTCGAAGTAGAGACACTCGACCACTAACCTGTATAATGTCATCTCGCTTATTGTTAATGGATTATTGTTGGTTTTTATAAAACCCGTTATGGAGTACATTAACGATCGTCGAATGTTTTTGATCAAATAACTTTGAGAACGTTCGTAGGAGTTCATTCGATAGAAATTGTAGGCCATCGCTTTTTTTTTTTTTTTTTTTTTATATTGCGTTTCTCAATACGTTTTATCGATGCGCGATATTGCGATTATTTCTTCTTTACGTTACGACGGCTAGACCTATTTCTCGTCCTCATTGCTTGGCAGGTTAATACGAGCTTTATAGTCTGTATTTGATTTTACGCGCGCGCGCGCGCGAGAGAAAGAGATAGAGATAGAGAGAGAGAGAGAGAGAGAGAGAGAGAGAGAGAGAGAGAGAGAACGAGTTTCACGTCACTCGGAGAATTTCATCGAGCATCTACAACGTCCTTAGGTGGAATATTTTTATTTGAGTTGACAATGATTTTTCGAATACCTTGAAAATTTCAATAGAAATGTTTTGCTCCAATTGAAATTTTGATTCTCTCTGTCTCTCTTATTATATCTTTATCTCTATCTCTCTCTCCCTCTTATTATATCTCTATCTCTCTCTATCTCTCTCTCCCTCTTATTATATCTCTATCTCTCTCTCTCTCGCTCTCTCTCTCTCTCTCTCTCTCTCTCTCTTTCTTATACAAGTAATGATCGCATTTAAGGTTACTTGTAGTTAAGTTCGCGTGTTAAACGCAACTTTCTCCTTCCGAGGCTACGCTTCTAAAGTTACGACGATTGGGGCTACGATGTAAAGAGAAGGTAAAGTAGCGCAATTTGGGTGTGTGCCGCTTAATATCTTACATTGGTGAAACTTTGAAGGTAACGACGTGAAAGTAACGAATTTGAAATACGTCTTTTCGTTTTATCTATATATAATACATACGTACGTACGTATATCAACCTTCCACGTTGAATTAACTTCAAACACAATTGATATGTATGTATATGTGTGTGTGTGTGTATAATATCTATATCTATTTTCTATAATACATTTATTTTGTTATACGTATTAAATCGTTTATATCTAGGTAAAAAAAAAAAAAAGAAGAAAAAAGAAAATAGAACATGTTCACATTACGTTCATCGATCTTTGATTTATG